ATGGCTACCACTTTTGCGCGACAGCCTCAGGCCATCTTTTCTCCACCTCATCACGGCCAGCCCACCTACCGACAGAACTCTACACCACCCTCAAACAACGTATCTCCGACAAACCACTCTACGTACCTTCATGCGCGCCAGGTGCGCCAGCCAAAGCAGCCACTTTACATTCCTGCTGTCTATCGCCCAACCGAGGCTGCTGCTTCGAGGCATAACTCTGTTACGCCACCACGGAGCGCAAACAACAGCGTGGATAGCACCAAGGAAGGCGCTCTCAAGTTCACGCTGCCACAATCGCCTCCACTCAGTCCTGATGAGGATATTGAGAGGTCGTTCTATCCATGGGGCCAGGCCAGCATTTCCAGAGTCGTGACTGATGAGTGGAATGATGATGCCTTGGGTGCCGTAACCGGCGCACCCACAAGAAACCACTGGAAGGTATGTCTACTGCTCCAGCAATTGTCCTTTATGATTCGCGTGTCTTCCCTTCTCGGCCTTGTCGCAAGTCGAACGGGGCAGAATACAGATTTCACTTGTGGAGTGAACGCTCTTATAGGCGTTGTATCCATCAAGGTTGTGGTTTTGGCTTTGTCGGTAACGCGAGAGCACGCCATCAAGGTGCCACCTCATGCGACCAAAGCACGCAACCAGTCAGGCACCATTACCTAAAACAAATCTCTTCCCCTGCATCTCGTCCTCGATCAAATCCACGAGCCAGGCTAACAAAGTCTTCTGAAGCCTGACCACAGCGCCGAGACTTGCACTTCTCCCACATGCACTCAACCCTTCACCTTCTTCGCTCGTCGCCACCACTGCCGTCGTTGTGGAAACATCTTCTGCAGCTCACATACTCCTCATGCCGTCCCTCTCGACCAAGAGGCTCGCTTCCATCCCCAAGGCACACCCCAGCGGTCTTGCGACTCGTGCTACTCCGACTATCGCGCCTGGCGCATGACCAGGACCTCTCGCACCAACAGTGTCACTAGTCGTGGCAGCTCTGAAACCACCAGCCTTCCTGTCGGTGTTCCGATCAGCAAGGATGCTGAAGAGGCCAACCAGCAAAACGTTGTTGGAAGTGTCGCTCAGAGCTTCGGCTACTCCCAATGGAGCACTTTCTAAGTGGCACACTCTCGTACCCTAGTAGCACATCATGCTCACGATACTCTGCCTCGTCAAGCAGCACTCGGAGCTTACGCACGTTCACGTCCTCACTGGTTGTGATTTATACCCCGCGTTCCAGCGCTATCTTTCTACTCTTTACACTCAGGTTGCTCCCCGGCAATCTTTATCTGGCCTGCTTTTCTATTGGGTCTCTTGCAAGCGTTTCAGCGATGCTTCGGCGATACCCCGTCTCTTTCGTTCCGGATCTTTAGATTTGGAAGTGGGTTAATAATCTCTCGTTTTCAATCTGCAAGGCGCTCAGGTGCCTTTTTGGTCAGGCGTTCAGGAGGGATGGATCCTCATGGTTAGATTGGTTTGCCTTCCTGGCTATATAGGAGGTGCAATGTTTTGTTATTCCATTGATACCACCAGCACTATTAGGCGCATAGATGAACTACCAAGACTACTTGACTATCAAACCAACCGTGTCTTGTATTGGTCTTACTTGCGTTTGTTTGAAACTGTGATCTTGATCTTGTGTATGCGTCAATGAATTATATGCTTGCTGACATTCTATCTTGATTTCCAAAGTGCTAACATACTCAAGAACTCAAAGTCTGGGTAAGCGGTTTCCAGAAGGCCAAGTAAAAGGCCGACGTTGAGCTTTCTCCTCGACAACACAATCCTAACTCGAACATCTCAACCAAATGATGCTAACGTTTCCTTATTGGCCGAACAATAAGACAACAACTGTTATCTTACCTCACTCAATAAACACATGGACACGTTGACTATCGTGTTCGGTAGACAGCCCAGACTGTTGATATCAGACCGAGACATATCGACTTCTTGGATTTCTTGGTCCTCTTGGCCCACGTAGACTCCACGTTGCTGTCTCAAAATGTATCCTTGGGACGGCTAGATTGCGCAGTCCTGCCGAAATTTTACTCGCCAAGAGATAGGTTGAGCCGATTGGTTGCATGTCGTCCTACCATCGCATGCATTTGCCTATATCACAGATTCAATACATTCTTGTTGCTAGTGACCAGCAAACCAAGCTCACCTCAGTGGCCAGATCGAGGCATTACTCGCAATTGCCAGTCGTGCCAGTCTGGACCAAGCACAGCAGGCCCGTGGCAAATGCAGTTTCAGTCTGTGCGCCCCGCATCTCAATACACCCCGATGGCACCTGTGCACTCTCGAAAGCGATAAACACCGCAACAACGGAGAGAGAGAATCTTCTTTGGCATCTTCACACCGGGTAGAGGAAATTTCAGGAATCAAAAGGCTTTCTTTGCATAGTGATATTCAAATCATAAAACTATTGTGTATAAATCTATCAATGACGTCAACGAACATCCGAACGCAAGAGCAAGTTGATTATAGAATGCAACTCCTGAACACTTTGCTTGGAAATGGCGGTGACAAGAAGTCGATCTCCAGTTTCAAGCAACGCCAATTCGGTAACAATTAGGAACGCACAGCCTGAGGCGCATCGTCCCCTTTTGTCGCTCTATCATATTGGAGTCAGAGCCTGATCAGATATGTCACCGCCACATCATCAGATAAGCAGGAGTGGCGGTGCTTTAGGGCTCAAGCCTCGGCCGAGCCGATGTCCGCTCATCGTAACTGTGCTTGTCTCCGACCACCGACATCTATCGCCACAGCTTTCGTGGCCATTGAGTCATACGGAATACTGTACAACGAATCACAAACGATCATTGCTCCGCTTGTACATATTTCACGTATAAGCTTGTGGCGAAAAAGAAGCAGAATGCAGATCTTCAAGCCCTAAAGCATTAATCATCTTTGACGCGTGGCTTAGCACTGCCTATTCCCCGCCTCACGTCTTCTCGACACTTCTCTGATATCGGTCATCGGTGTGTGGCTGATTGCGACAACTCGCGTCTATTGTGTTGCCTAGAGGTAAGTGAGTGGTATATAGGTCTGCTCATAGCCTGTGCCAATATGTTCTTTCTTCTTACATCAATCAAAATGTCGAACAGCAATAATATTCGCAACATGAATCAATCCAACCCATTCTGGGACTTCATCGCAAGCATGCAAGACCCAAGAAACAACCACTTGCAAGCTGGTGGTCCTCCCAACAGACCTCCTCCTCATGGCGCTGAGGGATTTGAGCCTTTTGAGCTTTTTGAAGGCCACTGGGGCTCGGGCTGGGGTGGTCCCTTCGGAGCTATGCCATACCGTGGCAGGAAACCCGAGCATGGCTCTAAGAGGCATGAGCGTGGTGGTCCAAGGGGCAGCCGTTCACCTCCACCACCTCCACCAGAGCACGAAAGCCATGAGGCTGGTTCATCCGGTCTTCGCGGCCACCACGAACACGAAGACCCACGAGGCCCCCACCCACGTCATGGATCATTCCCTCCTGGACCCCCGCCGCCAGCATACGGTGGTCCAGAAGACGCCGAAGACCCTCCCTCCCGCGCACCCACTCCACCATCCGACTTTGAGGAATCACAGGAGCCTCACTCACACGGTCCTGGTCATCATGGTCACGGCCGCGGTCGCGGTCGCGGTGGTCCCCATGGTTTCGGCCCTCGCGGCCACGGTCCTCATGGTCCTCACGGTCCTCACGGTCATAGATCTCGCAGCAACAGTCCCCACGGTAGAGAACCCCGAGGGTCTGGTGGACGCGGTGGTAGATTCGGTATGAGAGGCGGTCACGGACACGGTCCTCACGGCCACCGCAGAGGCGGACCTCGAGGCTTTGGCGAGTTTGGTGGCCGTGGACGTCACGGTTCCCGTGGACCTGGTGGACCACCTCCCCCATTCCCCTTCGATTTGAGCGCGCTCGCCGAAGCCTTTGTCCCTGGCCTGTTTGGCTCCACCGCAAACAACAACAGCACTGTCGCACGCGGCAACACCAACGTTGGCATGTTCCACCCCGAGCTGGATTTGTTTGACACTGTTGAGGCATACATTCTACACATGTCTTTGCCTGGAGCGAAGAAGCCTGATCTCAGCATTACTTACTCTTCCGCACGCAACAGTGTCACTGTCAGCGGTGTCGTTGCCAGGCCTGATGTCGATGAGGAGATGATGGATGCATTGGCTCTGGATGAGAGAAAGGTTGGCGCCTTCGAGAGGGAAGTCAAGCTCGAGGAAGGTGTTAAGATCGATGAGGAGGGTATTTCGGCCAAGCTTGAAGACGGTGTCTTACGAGTGGTTGTACCCAAGATGATGCAAGAGGAGGACGAGGAATACGTTGACGTGAAGAGAATTTCTCTGGAGTAAAATGGTGATGGCGGCGGCAATGGAAATGGAATGGTATGATGAGGAGGAATGTATTTTGATATCAACAAACAACGAAGGTCAAGGAGTCGGAATTTGGATATGGATTTGATTTGGTTTTGTTTTGTTTTACGCTTGAGCAAGAGATACCATTGTGACCTACGAAAAATCTACAAAAGGCGCTCTTGCGCAGAAAACAACAAATAATTGTGCCATTGTGTACTAGTGATCAGTGACCTTCCGTGAAATTCGCCAGGCTGAATTGTGAAATGATTAATAATATACATGGTCAATAATGCAACTGCCATAACAGTAACAGGATCCTGCTCCCTCTCATCAAAATACATAATCCACTGTGGCAACTGCCCGTATGAGTTGTCGCATAACTTTGCCAATACAAAGCATTGAAGACTACACAAGAAGACGAACACTGACCAGATCCACGATGTGATTACAGCGGCCGCACGTTCAGCAGCAGGACGGACTCCCACGAAAACTTGTAAAAAAAAAAAAGAACTGACACAACAATTGCACGCAGAAGGAGTGAACAAAAGCAAGAACATGTCGAATCGACTCTGTACTCCTAGCTACCTTACCTAGTTCAGGCAATCAGTAGCTGGCCAAAAAAAGGACAAAAAAACTTTTGCTTCGACTGAGAATCGAACTCAGATTTACGGATTTCCTAGACGTTTGACGCCTGGTCATGTTATGAGACCGTTGTACTAACCATTATACTATCGAAGCTGATCCAGGACTTAACCTGGGACAGTACATTAGTTGATGTAATGGAAAAATTTCAAGTAGTATATATTCATTTGCGCAACAAAATTTTGTGGTGTGGATTGGATTTTGCTTGGACTTTTCGATGCTTGGCATGTTTGGATATCCCGTGTCATTCTCTGATTGATTTTTGCATTACTCGTATACACTTTTGGTGTCTAATATCGCAGGACAAAAAGGGTGAAGGAGACAAACAGAGAGTTGTTCTGGATTGAACTTCTTTCTCTCAAATACTGCTTCAATCAAGGCAGGTCAAAAATGTAGTACTGGCTCAAAAGCAATGCTACATTGGACTAGCGGCGAATTGAACGCCGGACCTTCTCCATTCGCTATCACCTTGAGAGTGATGATGCTAAGAAGATGTCATACCACTAGACCACAAGCCCTTATGATGGAGGCTGGAAAATTATATCAATTATATATACTTCTAGCGCACGCGCGCAAACAAGCACTGAAGGCTTCTCGTGATCGCGCGATGTCTGCGCGTCATCCCACGAGCTTATCCCATATAATTGGCAAAAACGGTCATCGATAATTTTTATCGATATCTATCAGTTAATTGACAGTATCATCTACACAACGACTCGACAAGTTGGACTGTCCAATTCCCATCGATTTTAGTCAAGGAAAAGGGTTCCGCCTAGCTATTCTTATTAGCAACGCTGTTGCTATAGTTATACTAACCTCATCTCTATAGAGAGTAAAAGCTGTAATAGCAGCTTAAAGAAATATTAAAACTATTAGATAAAGCAGTAAGTTAATTAAACCTATTTACTTGCTTAGCTTAAGCAACATTGCTCCTTTTATAAAAAACATTAAGCGACTTTTTAAAAGAGTAATAAGCGTTTAAAATAACAAATTTAAAAAACAGTTTAAACTATTTTATAATTAGAATAAAATACTCTATTAAAAAAATATTATACTACTTACGAAACTTAAACTTTTATATATTAAGATTAAAAAGCTTAAAAAGAAGCTTAAAATAGTAAATCACTAAGAGCTAATTTGAAAGTTCTTAATATAGAAGTTAAAACTATTAGTATTAATATTAATAATAAAAGGATTATCTTCTTAAGCTTTAAACAATCAAGTTTATTAACTCTAGCTAACTCTAATATAGTAGCTTTATTATTAATTCTTATACTTATTAGTATTAAAATCTATTAACTTATTATTATTAGCTACGTAGCTTTATTTACGTAATAGAATGCTATTAACTCTATCTATTTCTTTAAAGAAACTACGCTAACTCTTAAGCACTATAATTGATTTTAGCTGCTTATTAACTAAATAATATAAATTGCTTAAAAACAGTATAATAATTAAGAAAAGAGTCTAAAAGGCTATTATAGCTTAATTATCTATATATGTAATTGCTATTAAAGAGATTTAAATTACATTAAGAGTTATAAAAATCATTATTTAAAATGAAAAGAATACTATATAATTGCAATTAAATAATGAATAGGTTTATTAGGTCTTTAAAATAGCTCGAACTTACAAAGAGTATTTATTCCCTATTAAAGTCAGTAATATATATAAAATAATAGTTCTAGTGTTTAGTATTTATAAAATATAATTAGAGTTTACAGCTACGTTTAGCGCTATAAACGGGTTTATAAGCGCTACTAAAGCGTTTTGACTCTTTAAAAGAGAAAAACTTATAGAGTTAATAATAGTCTATTCAACTATAATAGAGAATATTTAAAGAGCTTTTAATAAGTAAATAGTTAGAATTAAAGGCAATATAGCCTTTATTAATAAATACTATAAGCTCTAGCGCTTTTAAAAATATTATAATTATAATAAATACAGTTACTATTAGACTAAATATAGCTAATTATCTAAATATAATAAATATACTGAAAACTATAAAACTAATATATATAAAGCTATTATATTAAAATGTGCAGCTTATAATAGACTATATATTATTATAAACGCTAGATGCCTAGCGTATTATAATAAGATTAATAGAATCTAGAGCGGAAGCTAATTTATTAATAATCTATTAAAAATAAAAATAAGGAATAGTAAATTGTTATTAATTAGCGTATTAGAAGAGAAGTTACTATAAGTAATATTTAATAAAAAACACTAGCTTTTTATTAGCAAACGTTAATTAGCAATTTTCTATTTAGTTTAGTCTTTTTAATAATCACTCTATTAATTAGTTTACAGCTATTATAGTTATTAAATTAAATATAGCTAATTTTAACAGTAAACTCTATATGTCTTAATATCGATACTAGACTATTATAACTCTATTTATTTGATAAAAAGGTCTAGCGTACTACGCGTTTAAATTATTACTTTATATTTATAAAGACGTTTTATTTATCTAGTTTCCTACGTTATTATTAGACGTAATTATAGGAGTTATTACTATTTTAATAGAATACATTTTCATTACGTTAATCTATATTTTGTATTGTAGTCAGCACGCTTTTTCTAAATAAAAGTTTTTAAGCGACACTCTTTATAAAGTTAAAATAAAGTATAGAGAAAACCTCTCTATTATAGTAAATAGTAACTTCAATCGCTATAATTCTACATAGAGTAGAATTAATATATTATAATTTTAATATATAGGAAAAAGCAAGTTAATGCTTTAATAAATACATTAGTATAATACTTTCTCTACTTTTTAAAATAGTATAATCACTTTCCTTTAGAGTTAGTTTAAAACTACTATTAATCTTATACTAGTCTCTAATTTACTTAAAAACTAAATTATAAAATACAATATTTATTAAAAACAATATAGCTCTAATTATAAAGCTCTAATTATAAAGCTATATTACTATAGTTTAAACAAGCTAGAACAGCTGCTTTGTTAAAAGCTAAATACAATTTCTAGAAAACAGACTAAAAAGAGCAATTAAAGCTCTTAAATTATAAAAACCATTAATTACTATTATTAATAACTATATATAGCTCGATTAAATAGTTATTAAAATCTAAGACATAATGAGCTAATATATTCGCAATTACAGTTTAGTAATTAAGAAGTCTCTATATATAAAAATATAGTAAAATAGTAAGCTTATTAACTTTTATAATAAATACACTTAGCGCTAGAATTAAAATAATACTCTAAAAGCTAAAAAAAGCGATAAAAAAGAAAGTTACTATATAGCTAAATAAGCTAAATATTAATTTTATAAAAATATTCGCAATAAAAAGTAATTCTATTAAAACAACTTTCTAATATAAATAGATAACATTTAAAAAGCCGTAAGATATTTTAACTTCTAGCTATTAATATTTAGTAATATTCCTATATTAATTACTACTATTAATAAAAGTCAGACAATAAAGCTTAAAGATAATAAAGCTAAAGCAATTAAGCTGCTTTAATACTTTTTCTTACTAGTTTTAAAAGAATAGAAAGAGAATACTCAGAACTTAATTATAAAACATATTAACAACTTAGATATCTCTATTAAAAAAGTAATTAAAGCTATTACTAAAATTAGCTTATATAAAGCTTTAAAAGTAGATAGTATTCTAAATATTATATAAAAACGCTTTAATTAAATTTAAGTAACTAAGTTACTAAAATCTTTAATATATTATACTAGCTAGAATATACTTACTATATAGAAAACAACGCGTATTTTACGATTATAAAAGCTAGAGAAACTAGACTACTAAATAATGAAGATATACTACTCTATCTTTTTTTTAACTATATTAAATAAGCTTATAGAACTAGTACCAGTATAAAAAATATTGTATTAAATAGAGACTCTTAACCTCCTTTTAAAAACCTAATTTAAAGCTAAATTAAAACAATTATATAATTAAGTACTACTTCTTTTTATTAAGAAGATCTTTAAAATATAATAATAAAAGAAAGTGCTTTCTCTTATTAATTTTAATATAAAAGGAGTTTATAATAGCGTCTCTTATTAAGTCTTTATTAGTCGACTACGTATAAAAGAAATCCCAGCTTATATAATTATATAAGTTAATTTATTCTATATTAACTAGTTTACTATAATACTACTTAATAAGATAGAATTAAATTAAATTATATTTATTGAGTCTAGCTTTTTATAAAGATCTACACTAGCTTTAATTCTATATATCTTTTTTAATGCCTTTTTAATAAAGAAAAAGATTAATAATAAAAGAGGCAATATAGAATTTATAAATAACTATACTTAATAAGCAATTTCAGAATTAATTAAAAGAAATATATTAATATTAAATAAAAAAGTTATTTTAAAGACTCCCTAATAAGCAAAAGACAGTAGCGCTATATTTAAAAGCAATAAGACAATTTTTATATATTTTATACAAAATTAAAAAAAATTAGTAAGATAGACTCCTTTTTATAAATAGGTAATTATATTATTAAGCTCTTAATAAAAAAGAGAATTCTAAAGATTATCTTTAATTTAAAGCTATAATTTAAAAACTACTTAGTTAAAATAAAAGCTAAAGAATAGAAAAGCGCTAGCTAATTTAAACGCTTTACTTATATTAAACTATAATTTACGCGTTAACTTTATTAAATTATAATAACTTTCTAAATAAATTATATAATAATAATATAGTACTTTTAGTTTCTTAATAGAAAGATTAATAATAATTAATAATACAGACTATAAAATATTAATAAAAGCCTTTATATAATAAATAGCGCTGTTTTTAGAAAATATATTATAATATTTTATAATAAGCTAAATAAGAAAGAAGCCTTTATTCTATTATAGCTCTATATAAAGTATACTTAATTAAACTGCTTTTTAATAATTATTAATATTATAAAATTAGAATAATATAAATATAATTAAAAAAAGAAAATTATTAGACACTTTATACTATTCTATTTTAAATATATAATTAGACAAGAAAACTAATAAAAATACTAAGCTTTAATTTTAGCAATAATTCTTTACGTAATTAAAAAATAGAATCTCTATATAATTACTAGACAATTTTATAAAAACGAA